GTCACCACACGGGACAAATTGCAAGCGCTCGCAAGTTCAGGAGACAGGAGCACATAGTCAATGCAATAAGAGTTCTTGCCCATCGGGTCCGTCCATGTGTTGGTGGAACCTTGATGTGCCGAGGTAGTACAAGGCATGCACAGTTCATGTTCGGCGACAAAAGTACGTAGAAGATCAGTGCTGGCAGACGTAGAGCCTCCTGATCCAAAAACCGCCTGACCATCTTCTTGTCCAGGTGCAGCATTGGCGTCAATCATGATGATAAGAGGCTCATGTCGCTTCCTTCTATGCGCAACTTCTGTCAAATGTCGCCACCACTCTTCCCGGTCAAGTCGGGACAAGCCGCTGTGAGGAGCATAGGCCACGAGCAGCCATCCATTCCAGTACCTCGTGTCAGTGCGCACCAAGAGGACTCTGGAATCCTTGTAAGCGATCTGAAAGTCATTCTTCGTGAAGAAGCGCGGGTGGCCATCGACCCAGCAATAAGGCTGGGCAAGGTTGATCCACAATTCCACGCCTTGATGTCGTCCAGCGCAACCAGAGGCAAGCCGATAAACTTGGTCAACAAGGGTGCAAATCTCTTGTGTTTTGGCCTCCTGGATGCCCAAAAAGTTCAGCTTCAAGGTCTTGAATTGCTCCCTGAGGTAGGAAATCTTTCCCTCATGGCCGTCCGGCCCTCTGCTCAAAGAGTTGACATTGGCTGAACAGGCGCTGAGTGTGAACTTGCCTGAGCTGAGGCCTGGCATAAATTGGCTGTGCTCTTCATCTGGTTGCTTCAAAGGTGTTGGTGATGGCAACTGCGGTGCTGGAGCATGCAGACCTTGACCGCAAAACTGTGGTAGATCAGGGTGTTGGCCAAATAGCATCCATACATGGCCAATGGCTTTCCTCCATTTTCGCATGTCCAAATTCGGACGGCGACAGAAAAAGCTACGCATCCGCTCTCTTTTCGCAAGCCAGTCGCAGAGCTCATTCCAACATTCTCCAGCATGTCCAGGTACATGAGAATAAGCAACACCTTCAACACCCAGCGCCGCCTCATTGGCTTGGAAGGCCCCTCGCAAGAACTTGAAGGTTTCGTCCTGCTGCGCGGAGCCTATAATTCCTTCTGCTTGGCCTAAGGCCATTTTTGAGTCAGACCTGAAGCAGGTTGCAACCCGCCAATTCTGGCTAAGCCGCCAAAGCGCTGCCCAACAGAGGCCCTCTCGCTCGGCAACGTCTGCACCCAGCCGTTGCGCACCCAGATGCATGCTGTGCTCCTCATCGTAGATGACGGGGTGTGCGCACCACCCCAGAAACTGCAATCTTGGGGAGTCATAGCATTCCCCAAGGATGACCATGGCCCAGGTGTCCCCGTGCCCATCTTCTTCTGCACGTAGAGGAGGGAGATGTTTGTGACAGCTAAGTGATGAGCCATCAGTGTAGATCACCAGGCGATCCCAGTTCTTGTTGGCAATGCTCTGATCACACGCAGCCACAGCGTCCGCAAGATCTTGTGGTACATCCTGTGGCAATTCTGTCGTGAGCGTGTCAGCATGTGAGAGAAAAAGGTCTCGCACATCTTGCTCAGTGATGCCAAGGTCGATAAGCTGTTGGCTGTCAAACTGTCTGCAACCTTGAAAATGAGGCTGCAATGCCTGGGTTCTCATCTGCTGCGGCGGCCACTGAGGAACTCCTCGTTCTCTGGAATTGGGTGGTTCGATCACAACATGCTGATCATGAAAACCAATCTTGTAGATCCCAGGGTGGACTTCATCACTGCTAAGAATAACAGCACGCCAGAAACCCAAGGCGTAGAGGAACTCCATGAGATCTTTGGTGCGCATGCGTGAGTTGCTGGAATGAAGAATGGTTTGCCCCTCATCTGTGCGATCCATGTTGACCAAAACATAGTGGAACACATCAGTAGTAAGACCAAAGGAAGGAAAGCGAATGATTTCACCGCGTTCTCTGCAGTCCACAATCCTGCAGTCCAGTCCCCAACTCTGGAGTTCCAGCAAAATCGCACTCGCAGTCGCATCTTGGTCAATTTCAATGAATGAAGGATGTGGGCCCGGAGCACATGCCCAAACCACTCGAACTGCGTCTTTCAAAGGAGTCTCAGCCTGGGGAACCTCACTGATGAGCTCGGCAAGAAAAATGCTTTTCTTTGTGGCTCCAATCTGCAACAAATGGGTCCCAGAAGAACTAGCTGACGCTTCTGTCGCCGCAGCTGCACGCGTGATGATATCTCGCAAGTGATTCATGATGACAAGAAAGCTAAAACCATGCCTTGTAGGGTAGACATCATGGTATTGCAGATCAAAATCGCCATGCGAGATCATGCAGTCAATGAGGCTAGAAACCATGCCCGCATCACCAATGCCTAACCTGTCATAGAAATCTTGCTTGGTCACACGTTCGGGGATCACGTCCACAAAGGCTCGCGCAGTTGTTCCACTTGCCGCCGCATCAATCACAAAGACATGTATGCTACGGAGTGTTGGATTGGCATGTTGAACAAGAACCACATGGGGAACCCCTTCACCGCCTCTTCCATATCCTGAAGGAGTTGGTTGAATAAGGTGGATCTCAATGAGCGCATCCGGGTCTACACGGTCATCCCATGCCTCTGCAAATTGATCTGGCCAGTTCCACGGATCAGCTCCCAGTCGCACTGGACGAGATTGTGCACAATGCGGAAATCGCACGTGATCTGAATACCATGTGTTCACATAGAGTACACGCCCTTCTTCTTCCATTTCAACTGCGGCAAAGACCTCCCATAAATGCTGTAAGTCATGAAGAAGATGTGCAAGATCACCAAAGGTGAGCTCTGGACGTCCACCTGGTTCTTCAGGAACTAGAGGCACTTCAAGTGTCGCACCAGCTCTGCGGTCGTCCTCAGCTACTTTGCATGCCACACTTCTCTCATTGTCTACGTCAATTGGCCTTGAGAAAAACTCCGGCCATGCATCAAGACTCGGGCAGCTGGGACCTACGATCTGCAAGAGACTCATCGCGTCTCGATCATAGTCCAGGTCTTCTGCATTCGGCACATAGTTGAAGTTGTCGATCAGAGGCATATCTGCGACATCAATACCTTCAGGATACGCTTCCAAAACTGCCGGAATGTTGGAGGCCTGATACAGTCAAGGGTCAAAGTCGTAGCGATTCTTTGCTTTTGAGTCCATACCATTGGGCGAAGCTTTTCAGGGGGGTCGTAGCGATTGTGGCTGTGCCTATGAGATTTGCAGTGATTTGTTGAATCGTTTTAGAGGCTTTTGTGGGTCAAATCCATGTATTTCCGTTGGGTTCTTGGATGACCATACAAGTGCTCGGTTTAAGTCGTATCAGTTTCTTAAAGTCGTATTGGGAGGCCGTGCGCCTGGAAAAAGTTCAAGTTTCGCATCATCACAACTTTTAGTAATTGAACGATTTCATTGTTTTAGGGCCGTGCGCCTGGAATCAGGGGTCGTTCGGGGGGTCGTTCGGGGGTCGTTCGGGGGGTCGTTCGGTTGTATTTTCCGCACTTGTTTTCATTTGTGTTCTTTGTTTGTTCCTTTTTTTATCTTCTTCTCTTTCTTTCTCACAGACTGTTACTTCTTCTCTTTTCATTGTTTCCTTCGTTCACTCAGTCGTACTCCTTCTCAAATCAGACCATTGTGGCAGAATGATTGTTTGTAATGCAAAGCAGTGCTGGCAGAAGAGTAGTCTGCAGTGCGAGGGGTGGGCTCTCTCGTGTTTGTTATAATGGTACTTTGTATCCTTCAAATGAAGGCAATCCCCTTGTGTTTTGATGGATTGCTGTGACCCTGCTGTGACCCGGTCGTGGCGACTTTTCCGCAAGCGGTTTGTCCACATTCACGAAAATTGCTCTGACTTCAGCCCTCGACTGTACCCTCTGCGAAAACATTGAACCACATCTCGAGTGTAAAACTGCCGTAGGACCCCACGTGCCGGTGGTACAGCTACTCTGAGGTAGTCGCCGTGCCGGATCTCCAACTGCGCTCGTGTCTGCGCTCCAACAAGTCGATCATTGTGCCATAAGAAGCAAACATGTCTCGCATACTTGCAGTATGGCTGCAGACCAAGTAGTGCTAGGAGGGCTTTCCGAGAAACAGTGTTTGGCAAAATTTTGACTCGACGCACCTTCTCCGGCTCCAGCGATGGCAAAGCGTTGTGGAACTCCACATCTAGGAGCACCAACTGGAATGTCGATCCCTCTGTGATGTCCTGCGGCTTCTGAGAAATGAATGCATGTACTCTAGCAAGACGAAGATCTTCTGGCGTCGCTCGAACATGATGAAAAAGAGACACATCATGTATGCTCAGCCTCATGTGGTGTGCAAGGTCACTGTGTAATTGTTCATAAGAAGCCCATCGCGGTCTGCAATGCATAGGATCTACATCCGTAGAGTAGACAATGACTGCTCGTCTCTGCACCGCGCTGTCTGAGCGATCAGTATCGCTGCTGGATTCTTCTGTAACCGCAACTTCAACTTCCACGTCCTCATCAATACCATGATGTGCAACGTGAAAAGGAATCTCTTGTTGAACCGCAGCATGTTCATCAATCACAGCGTGACCATCATGTTGCATATAAATCCTTACAATTCACAATATGTGTTGGTTATCTAAATCACTATGAATTACTAGTAATCACTGTATAAATCACAATAAATCACTATAATATCACAACACAAATCACTACAAATCACTACAAATCACTATAAATCAATGTGCATCAATATATATCCCTATGGATCCAAGTACCTTCTTAGGAAGTGTTTGGGGTACAATTTACTATAATTTGGAGGCTTTTTTGTACCTTCTCAAACAGTGGCCATGGATCCATAGGGTATAAATCAATATAAATCAGCCTAAATCAATATAAATCAATATAAATCAGCCTAAATCACTATAAAATAATCACTAAGTCACGAATCAGATCAGTAGCACAGCGCCAGGCTGCTCTTTTCAGCATGTGCATGTTGGGCTTCTGGGCCTCCGTTCGTCTCATGGTCCACGGCCTCAAGACGGCCTTGGGGTTTCCTGGGTTTTTCCCTAGGAAAATGATGGGAACACCATATTTCAATGGGAAAATCATAGGAAAATCATTAGAAATTGGGAAAATCATAGGAAAATCATAAGACAACCATAGGAAAATATAGGAAAACCACCGGAATTTTGGCACATCCCCGAGTTGTGACAGTTGTGAATGGAGGTTTTTCCGTGCATGGCTCATGGGGAAATGGATGAACATGGTGATCAATGGATTATAGTAAACCCCAAAAATATAGAAAAGGTATATAATTAATATTAATTAATCAGTATTAATTATTAATTATACTATTTTTGCGATCACATTAATGGCGCCATATATCATAATATATCTAGATACACATGTTTCACGTGATCTACACATGCTGGATGTTCCACGAATCTATGTTAGTTCGTTTACAGGATGGTATTATGGTAACACTGAACATATTGTAGAAAACCTACTGTAATTAGTAATATATGTAATTTTCTACATATTATTATGGTAAATCCAATGGTGAAAGATATAAAACAATATGTAATTACTGTGAATCACTATTGGATTTGTTTACCTGTCGTTCTCTTTTTGGGGACAACAAAAATCGTTGTGGCTGAAAATGTTTTTTTACCTCCAACTGGCCATCAAGGAATAGGGAAAATGGTATGGGGTAGCCTATATTCACACCAAATCCGTATAGTTAATTGCAGTACATAGGTATTGGCATTTGGACATGCATATGTGTGAAGTTAACAATGTCAACTCTGGATTAAACTCATCCAGGTGATAGAGATGTTCTACTTATTCAATTTTGACCCTTCCCCACCAAAAGTCTTGCCGTTTTCTATCAGTGATCAGAATGAAGCAACTGAACCAGCAAGGCACCATTCCTCACTTGAGCGTGTGTGAAGATGGGGTATATACCATCAAAATCATTAAAACCAATCGCAGTTTCAACATATTTCAAGAAGGAACAGTCATGATTAAAACCGCTGTTCTTTAGGACATGAAGCCAGGAGAAACCAAAATATTTTTCAGAGTTATGATGTTATGGCCGTTTATTGGTTATCACATGTTGAAACTGGCTATTCTAAATGGGATTATACATACCCTCTGGTTATTTAACATAGCCATGGAAAATGGCCCATTTATAGATGGTTTACCTGGGTTTACCTATAAAAAATGGTGATTTTCCATGGCTATGTTAAATAACCAGATGGTAAACGATACATAGGGGGCCCCTAAGCTAAGCCCTGCAGACCGTCAGTCACGCGCCGAGCCGCCGGGCCCCACCGAGCCGCAGAGACCGAGGAGGAGTTCTCCGTGGTGCTGAAGCCTTTGATCCTGGCACTGATGCTGGCAGGAAACCATGCGGGGGAGCTGTCCCTTTTTTCCCCATTGGATCATAGGATCCATGGTGCTGCCATATATGGTGTGCCATGGATCCCATCAATATACCCCAGTCATGTTAGCATTTTTCTACCAGCACCATGGATCCTATGGGTTGGTTGGTTGATGAAAAAAATTAGGGGTTTCTTCAGAAAGCCCTTGAACAACAGGTAAATGATGATAGATGGTGTACCAAACCGGCCACTCTATTTTTACCAAAAGGACATTATTGAGGGGCGGTAGCCCAGGTTTTTTTTGTGATGAACAAAATGGGGAAGATGTTGAGCCATAATTGTTGTTTCAGTAGTTTCAGACAGATCAAAGAGTTCATGTTGGTGAAGTAGATTGGAATTCAGCCAGATACATTTGACATAGATAGGTTCTAGAGACATTTGGAGATTTTGGTGATTGAATCATTGTGATGTTCACGTTTGGTTGGTCCGAGTGACACAATGACGCAAAGGAAGCTGTCATTTTTTTTTGAGATGAGTTCACACTATTGACTGGGAATGGTTAAATACAACATAATACAACCCAATACATTTCACAGTTGCAAAGAGTTTGAATGTTGTCAGTCTAGTCCACTTGCTCATGGCGATGAAAGATGATCACCCAGCATGATGGAATTCCGTCCCGGAGCCGCAGGATGCCTTGAAAAAGCTGTGGACATGTGCCCCTTGGACCGCTGGGAGATTGGTAGCTACTGGGTTTTCCCCCTAGTCCCTTCGGTCAAAAGTCCCAAATAACTAGGATTTGTGTATGTTCGTTCCCCCCAAATCCCCCAAATAGATCATGATGCAATAGAGCCATCCCAAAATAGGTTGAACAGTTGGAAACCTGGAAGTCTGAGATAAATATCATCGAACCATCCTGGTGGAACACTTTTTGATCCAGCCCCATATCTCAAGATATGTCACATGGAAGCCCCGAGACCATCAAAAACTTGGTGGCACTTCATCAGCCATATGGGATCCCTTGTGGTACTGGTACTCCAACTTGACTCATGAAAGTTTGACGTGGATCCTTCATGTTTTGTTTCCGAAGCATGATATTTGATGCGCATTGCCAGTTGGTATGTTGGTGATGAGTTAATAACATGTGGAGGTTTCTGTACATGGGCGTACCCCAATAGCTGGATGGTTTATTTCATGGAAAATCCTCTTGAAAAAATGGATCTTAACTGGGCGTACCCCCAAGACTTAGGAAACCTCCCTATGGAATCAACGTCCAGTTCAATCTTAGTTCAATATTAATGAGTTAACAACATATATCATATATCATATTCCAGTTGGTATGTTGGTAATGACTTGATAACATTATATGGGTATGGGTCAATACCTATAGATACATTTTTAGTGGGATGAACATCCATTTACCAGCTATTTTGATGTTCACTAGGTACCAGGGTTTTGACCCATCCCCATATAATATAATATATATTATATACATTCAATACATTCAGATCTAAGCTTTCCACTGTTCCCCAGGTGAATTTTGCCTTGCCAGGAGTGGTGACTTCGGTTGTACGTTCGCGGGTGGAAAACCATAGGAAAACCATAGGGACTATGACAAATCACCATGTTTGGTAGGTAAAATATAGGTAGATCATCTATGACTGGTCCATGGTTTCCATAGCATTATATATTTAAAAAAACAGAGGGCAAGTCACAACTTTTAGGGACGATTTTTACGGGTGAATGATGGTCAGTGTGAGGCTGCTGATCCATGTTTATGATGTTGATGTTCTACCATTTGGTTATTTAACATCGCCATGGTATAGATGGCCCATAGAAATAGATGATTTTCCCAGCTAGAAACTTCCATTTAGAAGGGATTTCCATGGCTATGTTAAATAACCAGATGGTAGTAAGTTGCTCGATTGTTATAACTATAGCAATCCCAATAAGGATAGAATTTAGATACAATCTACCACTAGGTGAGTAAGATGTTGAACCCTTTCTGCATAGTTTTGGGAGTCACTATGATCATCCTTTAATATATATATATTGAAATTCACCAGAGGTTTCAGGGTAGGTTGATATGGGATGGTGCGGGTACACCCTGGTTTAGACACTTCGATTGGATGCATTACATACTTGGTCAAACCGATATTTGCTTGTACATACATTTACATACATTTACGTTTGACAATCTAAATGTGCATTGAACCCAATATTTAGCTGTTCATCATTAAATCCAATGTTTACGTTTGCCTAACAGCTTAAGGTCAACAGACCATCAGATGAACATCCCTGGTCTATGATCGAACCTGACCCTGGCACAAATTCAATATACAGTATGTTTGTTCACTGGTTCGAACATACCAAAATCGGCACACAGTGTGCTCAATCTTGAGTAAATTCAATGTGAACATGTGAAAATTACTTGTGTTTTACTGTATCTGAGAAAGGGGCACATTTTTTGTTGGTTCACTTCCATTTTGGTGGGAGTGACATTTCATGTATGGTTGGTGATGACCGGAGCAAAGATGTTGGTATGTTTACATCCGAAATTGGGCATGGTTTGGTTGTAAAATTCGTACAGTAATGATATCCCATAAGTATCCATAAGTCATATCCCATCAGATAGATGGCCGGAAAGAGAAATTGTCCAACCATCAGCCATAGCTATTCCTGGAGATTTCTCTGCCCATCTCTATGCCAACGAGCTGTGGCGCCCATCTCGCAGGACAATAAACATTGTAGTCTCTTTTGCCACCTGCCAATGTAACCTTCAGCCCTTTTGCGCATGGTTTGGAAGGTTTCTCGGCAACGAAAAGAGATAGCAGGGCTTAGCGTTGTTTTAGGGAAAGCAATGGAACAGTATCGCGATTTGGGACTTGATGGAAGAATATGGACAAACTTGGGCATGGAAAGATGAACACCACGGATTTCTGACATATATACATGCATATATACATATACAGTAAATTACAGTAAGTAATATATATATATATACATATACAGAGAGAGAGATGTCATGAGATGTCAGCTTTTTGGTGGAAATCACCAACCAATGGGGATTCAACGGCCAAAACATTTGGGAAGTCATCACGAAACAGCCAGGAATCGGATCTGGCTGCAACCTGTGGTTGACCTCCGATAAAAGCTATACACGTATAAAAAGAACGGTGCACCAACCAGACGTAATTTCATGGTTGGTTTATGAAGCCCACGAATACTATACTTATATTTATATAGTTAAAATGGTAATCAAGTTATGATTGTATTTCTATGATATACCATATCGTTATTGGAGTTATGCTCACCAACTTAAGACTTAGCTATTCGCATGATAGTCGACCCTTCATTACCAAAACAACCTACACATGGTGTCGCCAACCTGAGCTTTTTTTTGAGCAATCACCGAGGTCGAAACCCCAGGATGAATACATTGCTTTAGAGCAGAACTGCATCCCTGAGGTCTGGGTGGGGCCCTGGGTGGATGGATACGGTGGTTGTGATATATGGCACATGTTTTTGTGTTGAAAAAAGGACCGGGACGCGAATTGACTCTGAGATAGCTAGTACAATTTAATATCCGGGTTGGGATTTCTTTGGAAGAGGGACGCGAATTCACTCTGAGATAGCTAGTACAATTCAATGCACAAGAATTTGGCGAACACCCAACTTGAAGAAGACCCTCAAGACGAGACGATTTGATCATATTTGATCTATGATTTCCCCACCCGAGGGGATACATCAATGCATCTACTAGTGGAGCTGGTGCCCTACTGTAGCAGCTGGGCTATGTTGCCTCGCCCATCACCTTGGGGAGAAGCATGTCCATGAGAAATGAGTTTATTTCCATGTTGTATTAACAAACACACGTCAATGTATTGTCTATGAATATATATTACATATATACATATACTATAGATATACATTATATGCATATATATATATATTAATATGTTCAAAAAGAACATATCATCTATAATATAATATATATATATAGTTATATCATACTATATAAACACATCTTGTGTATTCATATACGTATACATACATAATTACATCAATGTATCGAACATATCTTAGATCGAATCATATACCCATCGCCTTAGGCATGCCTTACCGAACTTCAGCTGTCGGTGGGTCGAAAATTGGGGGTAGCCAGTTTTTTTTTGCATCCATTTGGTCGGAGAATCAGGAAATAGCGACATTTTGTGAAGGTATGTTTGATGGCCAAAAAAAAACAGGTTTGATGTGAAGGTATCCACCATTTTGGATGATTAAATCCTTCCAGAATCTTGGAGATGTTCTGTAACCCAAAGCCTTTTCTCCGCTGTGAGACTAGGAGGTTTTGGCGGACTGGAAAGTCAAGGAGGAGCCCGGCAAGAGCTGTGTGGCACGCGTGTACCTCGGCATATGAACATTGGCAGACGAACATCGCTCTGCAAAGCTTGGTTGGATAATAATATGTAATTGTGGTTTGGCATGGTTTGACCAAATAACTTTAACCAACATGGACTTAATGGGTCTATTTTCAAGGCACTCAGAAGGGGAATTTCTGGAAAAGCACGGCCAAACAGTAGAATTACTTTGATAGGTATCTAAAACTAAAAGTCAGATCTAATCCAAGCCGGAAAGCAGAAATGATGGTCACCTTGGGAAAGTCATGTCGGAGATCTTTGGTCATGGATCCTGCTCTGAGGGTCGAAGTATATCCTTTGACCACCAAGCCCATTGTGCCCTTTTTGATATCTTGCCATTCTATTTACTATATGGATATACACCGGATCAGAGGATATACTTCCCATATATTAACGATATACATGTTTGATATTTTTTTACTTGTCGTTTTTTTTGCTGGGAAGAAAAACATACTATATGGATAAACACCGGCAATGGGTAGTGAAGGTTGCATAACAGGAAAGGCCATAACTTGCTTTGTGGGTGGACAATGCAGTGGACTATAGATTTTAGTGTACATATCTCAACGTTACATAATCTTATCTCCAACCCCGGTCGCATTCCCACCCTCCCCTTATATATTTAAAAGAGGGTGATAATTGACCGTCCCACATGCCACACAAAACGGACTTGAAAATGTGATCCGCGGTTCGAAATGGATGTTTTGACAAGAAGATGAAGGGTACAAAAAGCTTATTGAGTGGGGATTCAAGTCATTTGCTGAACCTGCAGGGCCATTACTCCACATAACATGTCTGTCTCCATCCTCTTTGTCTGCACTGCATGTGCCGTGACGCAGGGTACAAAAAGCTATTTAGTGGGAATTGCCAAGTCATTTGCTGATTTTTGCACCTGCTTCAGCCATTACGACCGGGGTACGACAAAGCTCCATGCTAGGATTCTACGGGGAAAGGGTGTGCAGAAGAAGAAACCAACCATGCTGTGGGAAGCTCAAAAGCGTTGTCCTACCAGTGCGTCACGGCACATGTGTAGCAGTGCAGACAAAGAGGATAGGCATGTGGAGCAATGACCAAGCTGAAGCAGGTGCAAAAATCAGCAAATGACTTGGCAATCCCCACTCAATAAGCTTTTTGTACCCTGCGTCACGGCACATGTGTAGCAGTGCAGACAAAGAGGATGGAGACAGGCATGTTATGATTCCCACCCTCCAAAAAATTTAATTTCTTATATATTTAAAAGAGGGTGATAATTGATCGTCCCACACCTGCCACACAAAACGGACTTGAAAATGTGATCCGCGGTTGACCGAAATGGATGTTTTGTAAAGCTTTCAAGAAGCATAAACTTTGTTCCTCCTGAAGTATACATGATTATGTCCGGAAGTTCCAAGCCAAAATCCCAGGCACAAACCACTATTCCCCAAAGGTCGTAAGCTTCCACCGTTTGTGCCAAAGGTTCGCTGTGGTCATTGTCCTTTCCGCTGCGGGGATGGGTCTTCTGTACATCCTCGGGAGCGTCACCTCCTCTCTGGAAAAGGCCGTAGGGATTCATGATATGATCGATGGGGGGTCGTGGGAGATCATGATTTCATATCATTTCAATAAGGGCGTTACTCGTACCCTCTGGTAAACTAACATAACTACGGACAATCACAATGTTTTATGGGTAAATCAACTACAAATGGTCATGTTCAATAGCTGTGTTAGTTTACCAGAGGGTAAGATGATTTGTCACATGAAAGCCTGAAGAATTCACTGATTCACATTTTCACTAATTGAAATAACGAAGAAATGGAGGATATCATGGGGATATCATGGGGATACCATGGGAATACCATGGGGATATGAGGCTGACAACCTGGCCTTTGGATATACCATGATACACCCTTTCGTAATACAACATAGCTATGGCAATTTGATGAACATTGCCCATTTACTTAGATACTGTAATTTAGCCACTATGTAAGGTGAATTACCAGAGGGTATGTAATGCTTGTACAATGCGATACCAATGAGGGATTCGTCGTCCATAATTGGATAATTGGGATGTAATGGGCAATCCAAGTAACAAACCATAATAAAGGGGTATTTTGACTGCACGTAATGAAACAACGTGGTTTACCTCACTACTCATGAAGCAATCAGGCTGCTAATGAATGTTCTGCAAGTTTCCAAGCACAAGACTTAGTACTGTACTTATATAGTTTGTGCACTCCAGTCATGAGATTTAGATAGATTTAGTACGTAGTCCACTATTTGGGTTCATACCTCAAGTGGTTGAAGGGAGATTATATCATCCTTTCTCCCCCAAGAACACAGATACTCCTCAATTGTAACCAGGATGTAGCGTACTGGCTTAATGCGGGCCGCATTTTGAGGGATTCTTTGAAGCTAAACGGATGAAAGTGAGTTGAAGCCATGCTACCAGCTGCAAGCGAGTAACTTTGCTGGAAACCGTTGGCTAGTGTCGTCGCTTGCATGGCATGTTTTTTCTGACTGGCTATGTCCTGGGGTGGTTCTGCGGGGGTCCAATCATATAATCTATACAATATCCACCATAAACCCATCCGTTTGCCTATTTATAAGCCAACCTAGCCACATCCCATGACCTCCATTCAATTCATGAAATTACCATGACGCAATGCTGGTGGCTTATACCTATACCAACCAACGCCTCGCCAGGTGAACATGAAGACCTATCAGACAGGATTCAACCAAATGGAGAACTCTGTCTCTCAGCAGAATCCCCTTGGGGATGGTGTAGAGCGACTGAAAATGACAAATCGCCAGCCGAGCGCGACACATTATTTGGTAAGATATGTTTTACAGTAAATATGATTGAATCAATATCTTAAAAAAGTAAAAACATATGCATGGTGATATAGATGTTTCAGATCATGGTTCCAGAGGAATTGGGAATGTATGCCCTTATTGATAGTTGCGATCAACCCAAAATATCCAACATGTTCTTAGGAGTTCACATGAACAGTCTTCAACACCCCTGTTGTTTGATGATTGAGGGCGATTACATTATCAAAATTTATCAAACATGTTTTTTCGATGTTCGACACAAACTATATACGGGAATGATAGGGTTTGGAATATTTTCTCAAAGCGGCGTTCACGTGAAGTCGTGCGAAACAACGACCAAACCACAAGTAGTGGGACGTTTGAGGGAAACAGTCTTAGATGGTTTTCTCACATACAGTATCAGTTTCGGGATAGACAGTTCTATACGGTTAATATATATATATATATTTGTATAATATATATATATATATATATATAGATGTATAATATATATATATATATATATGCAGTTGTTTTTTCCATCATTTTTCTCTTATGTTTTTTGGGCGTGCTACATATGTTCTAAGGTCTTGGCGTTCATGCAATGGATCGACCCCAAGTACAAGGCGCAACGGTTTTCCGGTCGGGGCGATGGGGTAACAATGGATCCATCGTTGGGGTCAAGAAGTTTGACCCATGCAATGTGAGGCCCCCAAGACTTTGTTTGTTGGTTTAGATTCGCCCCATAAGCCGCAGTAACTAGGTCGTTATAAATACCATAAACCATAGTGAAATTGGAGTTATTTGCACCAACTTAGCTATCTTGGGGGCCTCACATTGTGCCCATGGTTGAAATGGCTAGATGATGATGGATGGGTTGAACACGCTAAGCCTTAGCCACGCGGTCGTTTGGAGAAGATTTGCCAGGAAACAGCATTTTCCACTAGTTTTCCCTCTATGGGTGAACATGTCAAGGCCGGCCCAAAATTGGCTGAGTACACTAACAGTTACAAATGTGTGCAAGTACACATAAGTACATCCTATCATGCTTGTGGCGTTCCAATTTCCCCCTTGACACACAGCCCTAGGTTGGGCACCCCTCCCCACATCTGCTCACCGGTTGGGCACACCCAGAATTCACATATTCTTTGTTTGATACCCAGGATAAAGTGATGGTTATGCATGGTTCTACAGTATTTACATGTATTTACATGATTATACATGTAGATATACAAATCCGAATCATACATACATTCCATCTCCAACCATGTACAACGATACATCATCATAATATATCATAATCATCTACACTATATATTACATAAATATACAATGTATATTAATACATCAATATGGTGATTTCCTAAAATGGTGGTACCCCCAAATCATCAATTTCAATAGGATTTTCCATTAGAAACCCTCTATTTTGGGGATCCCCAAATTATGGAACCTCCCAAATTGCAATCATTGGCCATTTGAAGATACCAACTGTGTCACAGTGATCTAAGAGCATTGTTTTACCCATAATCTATTACTGGTTGGTGGTTTCAAACATGTTTTATTTTCCACAATATATAGGATAATCGTTCCCATGGACTTTCATATTTTTCAGAGTAGGTCAACATAGGTCAACCACCAACCAGATTCATATACATATATATACCATCCGGATGTAGCTTCAACTGGGTCTCCCCGTCCCAGTTGCTTCTTGCCGTGGCCGTCAGGAAGAGCTAACGAAGCGCATGAACCAGCTGGAGACACATGTTGTCAGTGTCGCGGATCTCACGGGATGAATCAGGGAGATTGCCATAAATCTGTGATATGGAAAAAAATTCCACAGATTTTTTCATGGGATTTATTGGGATAAGGGTGTGATTTCTATATATATATACTGTATATGGAAAAATCCACGGATTTGTTCATGGGATTTATTTGGGATTTAACTATTCAACCAACGCATGTAGTGAGTGTCTATATATGGGTTTTAGATGGGATTTAAACCATAGAAAATAGGGATAAAAACCATTGTCAAGAATGGAGAAACCCTCTGGTAATTTAGCATAGCTATGATGCTATGGAACATTTTCTATTTATATAAACCTCCATGAGGTTAGGGGATTTTCCAGCTAGCCACGTTTGATTACCGGAGAATAGATTGAGTTTTTCTGGATGTTGGAAGTGGCCACAGGCCCACAGATTTCCCGTTGGAAACCATGCTCACAGTAGGGGATGAAACCACATGTAAAAGGGACCATGAAAACCATGGGGGTGTTTATTTTTCATATTAGGGGGATGGGATGGGATTGATTTATGGAAACCATTTTAAAAACTGATAAAACTTACACCAACAATCGTTATAATGCTCACATATATATATTCTATATATAAATATGAATACATACATATATATATACACCTTTGGATGGCAATAGTATTTGTATGCATAAATAACATCTATACAATTTTAAATTTATGCCCTACACCGTATATATATATGCATAACTATATACATACATATATATATATATATTGAGTAAGACAGTCTATACCTTGAATGGCAATACCCAGGCATGGTCCTGGGCGCCTTCAACGACATTTTGTCCAACACCACGCAGCTCGGCTGGCAGCACTCTGGAGCGATGGATGGTGACTGGTTGGTGTGAGATGATATTGGGGATAGAATGCCAATATCATGGGGATATAAATAATACTGGTAGCACTAATGGTCAATAATGGGAAATATATATATATTACTATATATTAACTATACTATATTGGCTAATTATAAGTGGTACCTTCAACAAATTGATATTTGATCAATAATGGGGATATCATGGGGAACACAAATTGATATTTGGTCGCTGATTATATGATAAGGATCATTCAATCATATCCACGCATCATTTGTAGGTTTTTTACCGTGAAAATTGTGGGATATAGTTGAGACTTGTTGATTGATGATTTTTGCTTAGGATATAATTACTACTGTATTCAATAGACGTGGGGATACTTACTACGACCCAATATGGGAATCCCGATTAAAACACTGCTCGACATGAGTGGACGCGGCATCAATCTAAGAGATGGAGAGCCAGGTGGTAGACCAATAACATAGTGAATCATTCCCAATTTCATCAGATCTCTTTTGTATGAACGTATGAACCTTCCCCATTTGGAGGTTTATTAGCTGGTTTGCCACATCACTTGGGCAACATGTTTTTTCCCACTTACAGAGTAGGAATCTTCTAGTTTTCGGAAATTAATCAACCACGAGCCTGTGAGTATTCTTGTTCACAGAAACATGTGTATTGTTGAAGTCAACCGTCATGTTTAGTCAAATTGTGCATGTCCATAGGCTGTAGGGATCGAGGTTGTCTCAAAAAGATACAGTAGTTGACAGTAGTTTCAATTCAATAATCATTCTTCGCGTTTTCTTCAAAAAACCCTGTGTGGTACACAGAATATATTTATTGGGTACCAGCGGTACCAGCCATGTTTAAAAAACGTCGTGGTGCCCAGTTTAAGTTACGTTTGTTGGTTTTTAAAACCCATTACAACAGATTATATGTTTCATTATGTATCATAAAACCACATGTTATTGGAGATTTTGTTCGGCAATTTAGCTAATATATAGATTTCATTAAAACTCGATGTCACTTAAATCCCAGTAAATCACCACTAAATCAATTCCAATGCAACTCGCTTTCCGAAATCCATCTCAAAATGCGTATGTAAAATAAGGCCCCTCCCAGCCGCTGTGTCCAAGGAGCTTTGCCACCCAGCTGGTCATGTTCCTGCTCTATTCGTTGATGTGTCGTTTGTCATAAACAATTCGTCCCCGACGTCGGCCGAATGTTTTTTCTTTTCCATAGTTGGAGATCTGTTCTTTTGATGGTAAAAATGGTAAAAAAAACAAAAACCATGGTTTTGCTGGGGAAATGTCCTGGATATCAATCCAAATTCTGAAAGAAGTGTGTGACAGATCCTTTGAAATGGTGATGCCGTAGTGAATGGGGATATATATGTTGTACTTAAGAGACCCTCAATCAATAGAAGTTACCCTCTGGTAAACATACAAAAAACTATTGATAATTGTTATTTATAGTGGATTTACCCATTAGAAATGGTGATCTTCCATAGTTATGTTAGTTTACCAGAGGGTAAACATTACCATTGTAGGAACATCCTTCAGTTCTTCGATACCTTTGTACTTCAACACCGTCTGTACTAACCAGCGTTATATAATCCTCCGTGGTCTACAGGGTTCCTAAGATTGACAGCGAGATGTACCGGATTTCAAACTCTAGAGGTTCCAGTCACAAAGTTTCCCTTCCATTTTTAGATATTGACAGATATATTTACCCACCAGTTTTTCCAAACAGGATTTAGATGAATGTTCCAGCAATAAACCTCCATTTATATATATATAGGGGATTTTCCATTTAGCTACGTTTGATTACCGCAGGGTATGCAGTAGATGACGTTTCCTGAGGGATGTTAGTTGATAATTTCACTTTCTCTTCAACCCTTACCAGGATTAGTGATCATGCAGATCCATCAGCCAATCTTCCAACCAGCCGTTTGTTGTTTTTGACCATCATTGATAGTTCATATGGAAGTTTCCTAAACTGGGGATACCCCTCAATCATAGACCATTTTAGTATTGAAAACAATGGTTTTGGGCATCCCCACCCGTTTAAGAATAGTTTTTGCTCATAGACGGACGTTATACTCCTATGATGCCCGTGATACAGTATCTCTTAGAATAGCCCCTTTTGATTAAACACCAACCAGCACTACATGTTACCGGTAGTCAAAGCTGTGTTGCCAGAAATCCCACCTTATAAAAGATCATGGACATGTTCCCCAGTCAAGTTTGATGGAGGGTAACCACTCTGATGTTGCTGAGTCCTTTCGAAACAATGTTAAAATATGTTGAGATAAAGAAAACCACCTGGCGGTTTCAATCCATTCCAAAGACATTCGTCATTGGGGATTATCGTGGCAAATATGGCTGATAGCAAAATGCAATCATACCATGAACCACAAAGCAGTTGTGGGTAGACTTCATTCATAGCACCTCACAATGGCCATACCCACAGCATCATGGAGCACCTCTGTATAATCCCAATATTATAATACATCCCAAAATTCATTCAGTTTTTTAGTATGTATCTTATTACTTCTTAATATCCCCATGTGGATATATTACCTATATCCGCCTATATCCCGTTAATATTCCTATATCTAATGTTGGAATTCCCAATCTTCCATTTTTTCGATCTAGCTCAAAACATGTAGCTGGCTCAATTTCATCAGGGGTATGTTTTGACAGTCACCTTGGGCTTTTTCAGAGGTACCATATCTAGTACTAAAGTAATCAGTGGGGATTGAACCTGGCAATTTAATGCAATTTAACAGATTGGGAAGTTTCTGCGAGCTCGCTCAACTGCAACGAGCTGGCTCAGCACCATCGAGCTCGCTCAATGCCACGTAGCTGGCTCAGGGGCATCGAGCTAGCTCAATGGCATCGAGCTGGCTCAATTTTTTTAACTCGCAGAAATTGAGCCAGCTACGTCACGTTGAACGGGCTAAGTTTGACGTGAATGTTCAAACAGAATGAAGCTTTTCGAGCTCGCTCAACTGCACGAGCGCTTCATCGAGGCGCTCAATGCCACGAGCTGGCTCAGGGGCATTTCAATGGCATAGCCGAAAAAAAAAAAAAAAACTCGCAGAAATTGAGCCAGCTACGTCACGTTGAGCTGGCGGACGAATGTGAGAGCATCAAAACGAATACTAGCTATGTATTGGCCGGGTTCATGACGCATTGGCGAGCCGGCTCAAGGGCATGTAGCCGGCTCAATTTCTGCGAGGTTTTTTTTTTCGCTAAAAAAATTGAGCCAGCTACGTGGCGCTGAGCCAGCTACGAGGCGCTGAGCCAGCTACGTGGCATTGAGCCAGCTACGTGGCACTGAGCCAGCTACGCGGCACTGAGCCAGCAAGGTAGCTTTGAGCTTTGAGCTAGCAAGGAGGCAGTGAGCCAGCAAGGTAGCTTTGAGCTTCATCATATATATATATATATATACACCTATGCAATCCCAACCATGTAATATACTAGATCTAGGGAAAAGCAATTTTTTTGAGGGAGACACGTACCTTTGAGCTGGAGCGGGAATGTGAAATCTAACATTGTACTATATACTTGTCGGTAAACATAACTCCAATAACGGTTGGGTTTATGGTACGTTGTGATACATATATCTATACTTAATGATGGCTATAAACCAACCAATAACCTCTGTTAAACCAACAAATTATGGACAATCACCACTTTTAATAGGCAAATAAACTATATATATATATACTATATATATATATATGGGCCATGTATGGCCATGTTGCTATTTGAGTTTACTGCAACTGGAGAGGCACCTTTTTTTCTACGAAGATTCATCGCCTTTGCGACGACGTCAGGTATCCTGTCGCCCATCAAGCAAGGGGAGCAGGTCTTTACCATCGTGCGGACCTACTTCCTGCGCGCTGTGCACGGTGATTGAAACCGATTTTATACGAAGATGGTAAAATTGAAAGGGGGACTTTTTCCAGGTTTGGTAGATGGTAATCTTGGAAAGGGATTATTTTATGTTGATCTAGAATCTAGATAGTTTTTGTGCTGTTCTTTTGGTACTGGAGGACAGTCATTGATTGAACGTGAGATGGCTATAATACCCATGGACAGAAAAACATCCTCGAAGATGGAGTTTTAAAATTCAGTGCACCATGTCCATAAGTGTAAGTTCGCTCAATTGTTGCTTCTACTAGCTGAACAAAAACAGTGAACAAACTGGTTGGTTGGTGTATGTCTTGCTAATATTATCTAATATCAACAATATGATGTTTATCCTTACTTGAGATAGTTGCCAGTTGCCCATCACTCGCTATTGTTTGTCATGGGTTGAAATGATTGTTGGTTCTTTCCTCCTTGAAAAATTGCTCAATCTCCCAATCCCAGTGTTCATAGCTGAGTACAGTACCTTCTTTTTTGGAGTATATAATTACATGGTCCTGCAAAGCACTGCACAAAGTTCATGTGTTGTCCCAGCGGACCTAAGATGTTTCGGCCACAAACAAATGCCCCAATTGACTTCATGAAGTTCATGAAGACTAAGTTTTTGCCTGGCTGCACGTTGCTTCACCAGTCTGAGTGAAATAGGTATTTATTTGCCAATCCCAAAATTGATTGCTTGGTGAATATGCCCGCCCGTCTTTGCATCTCAAATTTACCATTTTTTGTTTTAGCATTCTTTGTTTGGTTGTAGCAAAGGAGGTGAAACACCGTCGGAAGCTTCTCCTTCACTAGTTGGGTTTGTCTGAAAATAGGGTATTTATACGTATAATATACAATGTGTACATGTATATGGACATATTTGATATTCAATATATATATATGTATATATATACACATTACACATACAGTCTATATGACATAATTAAAATCCCACAACAAGAACATCTCGTTAAAATTCTCAGACTTTGTGGGCGCCCATTCTCCAAGCCACAGAGGTACAAGGCAATTTGCAACGCAGTCTTCAGCCTATGTGCCTGGTGTTTGCTGGCAGGGATCGGAGCCTGGACTGCCTGGACCGCAACCGGATGATGTTGGTGCCCGGAGTATCCCAGCGGTCCAACAATGTTGTGGGTTTTTTTCATGGGGATGTGTATATATATATATAATATACATCTACAATATATTAATATAATATATATATATACACACGTATAAATTGACATACTATAAATTATGTAATGGGGATATATATGTACGTATAGATCGATATCATATAATGGGGATATAAGTAACAATCTGACGTTTGGGTACCCTTGGTGCCTGTTTTCATGGTGGATTTCTTCGAGAAATGCGAAAAATCCATCATGGGTAAAAAATGGTGGCGTTTTCCCCTCAAATTATAAGAGAAAAGGTAATTTACTGCGGATATGTTGAGATGGCTTATCTTTCACAGGCTTGTAGGGAGACCTCACTCGATGTGACCCTGGTAACTTGTGATTTTTTGGCACATTAGCTCTAAATATATCTAAATATCTTTAAACCTCTTTAAAACCTCTTTAAACCTCTTTTGAACCTCTTCAAACCTCTTTAAACCTCTTTAAACCTCTTTAAACCTCTTTAAACATCTTTAAACCTCTTTAAACCTCTTTTAAAACTTAAAGAGCATCTTTAAAATTTTAAAGACATACTTTAAATTTTTAGAGAGTTTTAAAGAACAATTTCAAGTTGGGATTGCTGATTTTATTATTGGGATTCGACACCTCATTGCATTGTTCTTGCACGGTGGGTGATGGAGATCATGTTTATCGGCTGCATCGATTTATTATTGGCTCAAAGCAGGAGACATGGATGCAGATATTAATGAGGCCAACTGGCACCCTGAGTGTTCAGTTTTGGTCCGGGATTTGAAGGTAAGGGTGTATGTAAAAAAAAAGGATGGTCTTGACGCCATGTGGCAATCAATGTGGTTTGCTGCAGATACTTGGATGGCATTGCATTGGGATATCACAACTGCAGTGTTGAACAATCAAAGGGCATCCAGCAATCAGCAGAATGCACGTACCTTTGGTGGCACCAGTGATTGCTCATCAGGTGAGTGGGGGTTGGGGGGGGTCAGGACATGTATTTTATAATCAGGGTTAAAAGCAACTAATTGGTTATTCCCACAACATGGACCTGGATTAATTGGATCTGAGGCAACAAGTTCAATGCTCGGTTGGAATCTATCCGAGATATGCACGCTGAAATTTGGCCCGGTGCACGTCCGAAGGAACTGCAACCCCTCAAGACCAAATACGCATCAGTAGCTTGAGCATTTTATTGAACATTTATTTTCATATGGCGCCCACTAAAAATGGAAATGTTGTTTTTTATTTTTTATTGGAGCAAACACAAACTATTAACAATAAGGACAATCCAGAATGTTTCACGGAGAGAACTCTCCCGACATCAATGATTATTGCAATGATTGCGTGGCAGATGTCAACTGCAAGAGGGACAGTCATCGGGCGTCGGAAGGGATTTGATTGCTTAAACGAGTTGGTGGCACGTTGCACAAAAACCAATGGGTTCTCACTTCATGTGTCATTTGGCAATAGTGCCTTACTCAAAATTTGAGCAAACACTTGAATCTTTTACTTTTTGTTTACATCCTGTGCTATCCAGTTTGAATGCTTAGATATGCTTAGTTGCAGTAAGTAAGTAGTAAGTAACTGAATTTTCAATCAACCAGGACAGGTGGCAGTTGCACAGAGACATGGTGAGCACTTTCCCGTTCAATGGCTGATTAATTCTGGTGAGTTAACGGCTCAGACAAGACACGACATAGCAGCGTTGTGGGACAAGGAAGCATTGGAAACTTCGACTGCGTTTGGTTTTGCCACATGCACACATGCAGAGACATACTAGCAATGGGGTTTTGAGGTTTTATGCGGTGTTAATAACAAGCTACTGTGAGATCAATTAATTAATTAAAGAGCCATGCTGCTGCATCCTAGGACCAATCGAAACCTTGGGTGACAACGGTGGCCCAGTGCGCTTCCCTGGCAGCTGTGATTGCTTTTGCACTGGACCCGCTGATTGGCAGCAATAATAATCTAAATAATCAAAATTTCACAAATTACCAGGGTCACATCATGTCATCGAGCGAGGTCTCCTATAAGCTTATGATTATCAACTGATAACTAGTAACACAAAAAGATCAACTATACGGTAGACTATACGTCATCAAGCGATGGCTCCCATCAGAAAATCCATGGTTACAGCAATCTACTAATTATATTATATTAGTTTTTTCTCTACTGCGGGCATCTTGAGTATCCCTTGGTCCCAAGTCATTTTCCACCTGTTTAAGTGCCGAGGCTGCACCGCAAAAAACTTACGCAGTTTTCCATCGTGCGTTCCATTGGATTGTCTCTGCTGTCGCAGATTGCAGCCTTTTTGGAATCTTGTTATGACAGCCAGCCAGTGAATGTGATCAATGTAACATTCTACATCAAATTTAATAATGATGAATCAAACACCTAGTGAAACAACACTCTAAAACCCATAATAACCTTGGGCATTCTCAATCAATTGTGCAAAGCCTGAACGTTTTCCCCCCCGACAATGGCTCTGATTGAATGTTGGCTTAAGGATGGTAACCTTGACACGATCCTGCAATCGGAGTTGGCCGTGGCTAGGGAGAGACGAAAGAAGCAACCACTCACAGTGCTGGAATTTTTCAACCTCATCCAGAATGTCAGGAATGGGAAGTACCTAGTTTGTCAACAGAAATTGTGGGAATGAACACATGATTGACACTTGTTATGACCAATTATTTATTATTATTGTTTGCAATTCTAAGGAATCATGTAATTAATAGGCCTTGAGTCGAGTCCTGCCCTGGTCAAAATCATCACGCCAGTCCGAGGTATTTTACATTGGGGAAATCAATTCTGGGCACTGGCCGCCAGATCACGACTGGCACTATGTGGTTGGCATATCGCGCAATGGCTCCTTTACATAATCTGGCAACAGACTGTATCATCTGTTATCACTATCAGTCAGTGTCATCATTGTCATTCTCATCGGAAGCTCTGCCTGGATTCCACATAGTTGCAGTAATAACTATTATTTGTCATTACAAACTTGGTAGCGCAATACCGACTGACTGTTACAGTCTGTCTGTTGCCTTCAGCTATCTGGCTAACTCAGACTCAGCTCTCACTGTCTCGTACTGACTGAGGTTTGCTACCTGGCCAAAGCACGCCGAGTGTTCCAGAACAGCCCGCACATGTCGGTCGGATCCTCTGTCAGTTGTTCAGCGACTGTCAGTACTAACGACTACCCGAAAATGGTCATACCAAATTATTTTATTTATTAAGATAAAACAAAAATATAGCCTCAAACTATTAGCGAGAATTTCAATACACTTGGGTTCAGTGAAATGTCAGTTACAATAGATAGACAATATCCTCAGCCTGACTGAGGTGGTATTCGATGGAAGCGTTGTCCAAAAGATTGCTGTGGAGGCTTACAAGTTTCATTGCGCCTTGACATTACTGGACCAATGATCCAAATGGATCTTAAAATTTCTGAATGCGGCTTAAAAACATACAGTACAATACTATAGACAGATCCATAATAAAATAGCATTTTTTGCAAAATAGAACTTAGTATGTGACTAAATTTAGATTGAATACTACCAAACTTAGACACTCTCTCCCTCTGCCAATTCTGAGGCCCCATGGTCAATTTGAGCGCATATGCCCCTCCACTTGCTACCTGGCTTTGTGGGTGAGCTAAGTTGGGTGATTTTTTTGGCAGCCAGTGATTTTTTATCAAGTCATGGGTAGGATTGGATATCTATTCAAACTCCGGCTGCAGCAGGCAGAACCTCTTGGCTTTGTTTAAAACTGCTGGACAGATTGTTACAACATTTAAATGTCAATCGTTATTGGGATCTTCAGGCTTCAATATTCTTCAACAGTTTCAACACTTTAAAATTTAAAAAAACATCACAGGGGACAGTACTCAGATATTTCCGTATTAGAGTCACAGCAAAAATAGAAAATCATAATCCTTTTCAGCAATGTCCATTCCCGATGTCGTTGGCGTCCCTCAGCCGAAAACACCGGCCTGTATAACGACGACCGGGATGACAACAAGACCCTCCAACTCTGCTTCTACTGATGATGACTGCGTGCCTCCCAGCCAGAGCTCTGCTTTGGGAGAGGAGAGGGTTGGTGTATTTTTTGTAGGTGGCTGGAATAGTTTTGATGATGATGAATGATTGATTGATTGGTTGTATTGCTGTTCAAATTCTGCTATTTTTCGAATTATACATTATTACTACTAAGACCTAAGACGACAGATGACAAATAAATTAAATATGATATCCCGCTCCTGTGTTAGTTTTCAGGACCATGACTGGTCACGACTTGCAATGGCTTCGAATGCCATCAAGTACGCATGGGATATCGTAGCTGATGAATTGCCGCAAACACGACTGAATGTATTTTGACTCTGTCTGACAAAGTATTTTGATTATGTTTGTTTGCATGTTGGTTAATTATCATAATCAATTATCCCAAGTATTAAATGTGCAATCGCATAACAGTTAAGAATTATAATTTTAAGTGAGCGGGACCCAACCCAGGCATCTTGGTTGGCACACTGCCATGCAGCTACATCGTTCTGTACTGGATGCGGTACAGCTGAAATGAGCAGAGCCATATTGGAGCGGGATATCAACAACAGTGGTAGAGTCGATTTTCAAGTTGACATCCCAACCGTTGCCGTGTGGGAATCTTGGTGATAATTCAACAAACAATTTGAATGATCCTTGAATAAATTGTTTGCTTTCCCCTCGCATTTAATTGGTGGCTTCAAATAAACACTATTTAGTTAATCGTCAATGTCATGATGAGGAATATACCCAACGATGCCAAAGTCTTATCCGTGATTCCTTTCGATGGATTGAAGAAGTTGCTGGCCATGACTACAAGACCTCTTGCATGTTTGGTGATATTCTTGGTCTTCTTCCATCTGGCACTCTGACTCATGAGACTATGACAT